GGAGGTCTGCTTTCACTAGGACCCCCAGGTTTTCAAAGTTGCTGATGGTAAGCAAGGAGGGGGTTGGGGGAGGAGCCCCCAGTGTTAGAAGAAGGCTGGAAAGACACAAGAAGATCTCAAGGAGAACAGGCTTGGACACTTCTTAAAAGGATGGCAGAGACCCTCCCAGTGCTGTCCTAGAAAGGGTCTCCTTTTCTTTCTTGGAGTTAGAATTCCCATGTGCCATGGACCCAAAGCTGACCAGAGGATCAGTCAGACTGGACCATGACTCCTCCCCATTCAAGCTTTGGGGGCCCACAGGCTAAGGCTGGAAGGGAGAAGAAGCACAGAGAATCGGCAGCTAGATGATTCTTGCAGTGGGAATAGGAGAGAAAATGCCAGAGAAGAGGAAAATGTCAGGGGCAGAAACAATAGCTTACGTATAGACTTAAAATCATCCAGACAAGGTGCCACCTGTCAGTTCTACTCCTGACTAGGGATCTTGATCGGGGGCCTCTGACCTCACTCTGACCCGCACCTGGTGGCCCAACAGCCCAGGTGACAGCACAACTGGAATGTACACCTGACCACAGCTGGGCCCCTGCACACTCTAACCCCAGCGCAGCTGTGCGGGCAGCGAGGCCCTGCCCCCACTGCTGCCTCCCCCATGTGCATACAAATGCAGATCCGGTCAACACCTGCCGCTAGGTCTGGCCCAGAATGGGATGCTGGAGGGGAGGTGGGTGGTGGGGGGACTGGGCTGCCTCCATCCCAGAAGGAGACTGGGACCCCGCCTCAGTAAGCCTGCATTCTGGGGGCAGAGTGCCACCCCAGTCGAGCTGCACACATGCAAACAGGTGTGCAAGCCAAGGATGGCTGCTGCCTGCTTGTGCCAGGCCCTCCTGGCCTGGAGGTCTCCTTTTCTTTTCTACTTACTGGAAGATAAGTTCTCAGATTGTCTGAAGTGGGATGGGACTTCCTGCAGACAGGGGCCCTCCCCTTTGGGGATTCCAGCGGAGGTTCTGAACAACTGAGTCCTAAGACCCGCTTTGCACCCAATGATGTCTTGGGTGTGGGGACGACCAGCCCTCGGAAATAATTAGAGTTCTGGATTAAACCAGTCTCCCCACTCCAAACTGACAATGGAGGCATTAGACTGAGATGGGGAGAAGGGCAGAGTCACCACGGTCAGACCAGGCGCAGGCCAGACCAGGCGCCTAGCCTTCTAGAGAGGAGGAAGAGAATGGAAACTTGGAATCTGTGGGGGTAAGCTAGGGGCAGGGGTCTGATCTGCACTTTATCCTCCTCCACTTTAATCACCACTCCCCTCCAACCAGCCAAGTTTGCCAATTAAAGGCCAATCTCTCTTGATTTCTTTGCTTTAGAAGGACATTTCGATTCACCCAGGCAGACAATTAAATCCCCTTCTCGCCTCGCCCTTCCCAGAGCTCAGAACAAGATGCCTCCATATCTCTTGCCAGCATCTAGCTGTGGGAAGGAGTTGATCTCAGGTGCTAACCTGCAGTTATCAGGATGCCAGACTCATTTAGGGGGCTCAGCTCAGGAACCTGAGACGATCCCTTCATTGATCCTGGAAATCGCTGTTTAGATTTTGCCCTTGCTCAGTAAACAACTAAAAGTAACTGCAGGATTTCTCCCTTGCGTTTAACGGAATCTCTCTCTCTCTCTCTCTCTCTCTCTCACACACACACACACACAAACACACACACACACACACACACACACTCCCCACCCCCAACCCCTGGGTTAGGCTCCTGCTCTTATTAATCATGAAGGGACAGTGGGACCAGTCTTTAACTGTGCATGCTCAGTCGCTCAATCATGTCTGACTCTTTGCGACTCCATGGACTGGAGCTACATGGACTGTAGCTCACCAGGCCCCTCTGTCCCTAGGATTCTCCAGGCAAGAATACTGGAGTGGGTTGCCATTTCCTTCTCTAGGGATCTTCCTGACCCAGGGATTGAACCTGCATCTCCTGAGTCTCCTGTGTCTCCTGCATTGGCAAGCGTTTTCTTTACCACTGAGCCACCTGGAACACCCTCAGCTATCCTCCCTAAAGCGGTTAGGTCTTTCAGGGGGTGCTACTCCTTCCTCTGAGAACTAACGTCTCCCCCAAAGGACACAGCCTCCCATGTTCCTACTTCTGTAGCGGAAGCTCCCTGCTGACACTTGGGCTCCCTCTCCTGCCAGTCTCCCCCCACCCCCGGCTAAGACCTACTGCTCAGGACCTCCCGAGGCCTTCCTCCTTTCCTCCTCCCACCCCAGGACAGCTGAGCCTCCTCCGTCTTTGGCTGCTCACACACAGCTGAATATTTGGAAGTGAGGGCGATTGCTGTCTACTATGCCTGACAGCTGCTTCTAGATCGCCTGCCTGCACACAGAGCTCTTTGGGGGTAAAAGCAAATGAAATTGGCAAACTTACTCTGATGATCAATGCTTTTAGGTTCTTAGAAAGATCCCCGTTTCCTCCTCCATTAGGACTAGAGAAAGAAAAAGAGGTTCCTATTGCCTGTAGTTTGCCATCCTCCGAGCAGACCGTGTGTTTTAGCTGTGTCCCTGTCATGAGCTCTTTTCCAGGAGGAGGTTTGCATGGCTGTCATCTGTGGACATCGAACTCCACCATCTATTTGTGTAAGATAAACAGAAAGACATAATTGCCAGCCACCCACAATACGGAGGATTAGGATGAATCCTAAACAATGATCATTTAAAATTCAATAATTGTTGAAAAAAATTAAAAGTCAAACGATAAAGGTCAGTTTTCCTGAAAGCTTTCGGTGCAGTAAGCCTTCTATGATGATAGTGTTTTTTAAAAATTAAGGAACTTTCTTTTTCAAAGTCGGTACTATCTCAAAAGAAATTCCTTTCTAGTTTGCTTAAACCCCTTTCGTACGATGAAAGGAGTATTTTGCCGAGGAGATCGGCACAATACTGTTTGCCAAAATCAGCCAGCCTCAAGCAAAGAAATTTCTGAACATCTCACCACTATAACCAGTGAATCTATTCTTTCCAAGATACCAAAACTCTAATATCTTATAATTGTTTAAAGTCACTAGTATAGTCCATAAGCTCTTCAGTTTAAAAAAAAAATCTTACAAAATAAGACATTCAAATCTGTAAATTTTTAGGATTTAAAATAGAAATAGTGATTCAGAGTAATGACCATTAACAAATTATATATGTTCCTTAAATGAGGAATTGTTCCTGAGAGTGCTATTTTGTTATATAAATACCCCTGGACAGACCAATTAAGTATGTCATTTCTTTGCTACTTACCTCTTGTGCCACAGTTTCATGAAGGAATATAAAATGCATTGGAGTTGTGATAAATTTACTATGTGCCAAACTAGCTGTATATTTAATGATGCTCAACTATCTTTTATAAGATGCATGGTGGACGTTGTGTCGGAGGATTACTATCCACCTGTGTTAGCCTTTGGTGTAGCTGTTTGCACGCAGCTCTGAGCGTCTGGCCCCAAGGTTACTAACAGTGGCATTTTGTTAAATATCAGCTTTGATACAACTAAAGCTAATTAACTGATTTCATGACATATTTTTCTCTAAATTTTATGTTTGATAAAATAGCTCAAAGCTGCTAAGTAAACTTCTTGCAAAGACTAACTCTTTGTATTTCTCAATGTTCATCTTTCTAGCGACAAAATTTACACTGAAAGTATTTCTGGGGGAAGTGAATATATTGATCATTTTTTGATTGCTTAAAACTACTAATAAAATATTTTTAAATGTTTCTGGGTAAAATTAGAGTAGATTCTATGCAGAATAAGAACCTTTTGCTTTTCCTCCTTCCTTTGGGCCATGTTTGTGTTGCTCGCCCTACACCTGCAGAGCCCTTCAGCTATACCTCACGCTTCTGGTGCCTAGAGGAAGCCGAGATATTTCGGAAAATAATTCAGGAAAAACCCGCAGATATAATTGGGACCGGGTGTCACCTCCCCTGGCATTCTGAAACAAGCGACATTGTGTTTGGTGCAGGGGGGCGAAAAAACACGACCTAACAGTGTTTACCTGTGTATTCAGCCATGAAATTGAATATTATCGAAGTTGAAAAAATGCAAATCAAATTAAAACCAGGGAAAATTGTCTTTGGAATTACAGCGGCCCAGGGCCCCCAAGTGTTTGCTTAAATTGAAGCGTTTAGAAAATGAAAAACCTCTGAATTGACCCCTCTGCTCCCCCAACTCCAAGAAGGAAATGTATTCCTTAATTCGACTTTTAATTCAACTACAAAGATACGGAGGCTCAGACACCCATTATTCGCCCGAGGCAGCAGCCACGCTGAAATAGAACTTTTTCTTTAAAATGCAGTGTCTTGCTTTACCTAAGCGTTACTAACGTCGGACCGCTTCAGAAACCCAGCAGCCCCGCGGTCCTCATTCCTCTGGGAACCGCAGCCTCTGAACCGGCCTCCCGCTCCTCGTAAGCAGCCTGGACCCTCTGCCAAGGCCAGGCAGCCGCCCCCTTCCCGGGTCCTCGCATCCTGGGGCGCGCATCCGAGCCGGGCCTCCCCGCGCGGCCAAGCGCCCGCGGCGGAGATGCGCGCAGTACCGCGAGGTGCGGGGCAGGGGGGTCCGCCTAGCCCCGCTCGGTGCTCACATAGCCAGCACAGGACTTCGCAGCGTCTTGGTCTGGGAGCCCGAAAAAGGGAAGTGCCAGATAGATATTATTTCTTGAAAAGAAAAAAAAAAAAGCAACAGGCAGACGGGTGGTCCTTCTTGCCTTTTCCAGGTCCTACGTCGCAGGGGATCGACCCCAGGCGCCCCACTCACTGGAAGGGTCAACCTCACCCGCAGGCCCTCCGGCGCCCCCGGGGAGGGGCCGCCCCCACCACGCTCTGCTCCGGGAGAAGCGGGAAGCAGGGAGGGAGCCCCGCAGGTGCGCAGGGCGCCGCGATGGGCGGGAGACCTCAGGGCGCGCGGCGCGGCGCGCAGGTGGAGCGGCCCAGAGCTCTGAGTTCCCCGGGGGTGGTCAAGGGTGCGAGCTGGTCCCCGGCGGCCACGCCCACCGGCCCGAACTGGGATCGTGGGGGTCGCAGGGAACGTGTATGGCGAGGATGTGCTGGCGCGGCCCGGGAACAGCTTTCCTTTCGGTTGGTGACCTCAGAGGACGCTCTGCCTCTGGTTCGACCCCATCCATCGGACCCCAGCCCGGGAGCCCGGGGCCAGGCCCGCCGAGGCCCGGGCGGGTTTTCTCTCCCTTGGGGAGGGAGGGCGGTTGGTGGCCCCGGCGTCGTTTGGTCCCCCCTCCTGGCCTCTTCCTGACACCCTGCAGGTTGAAGGGCAGCCCGGGTTCCAGAAACACAGTGACTGCCGTACAGATCACCCCTCAGGGGCGGGTTGGGGAGCCGCGGACGCCGGTTTATATGTGAAATCTTCCCCTGTATTTCCTTTCCAGGGACCCCTGGATCCAGACCAGCTCAACTACAGCTATGAAAACAGACCCGTGTCCCCCAGAATTTTTAACCCGTCCTTAAGCTGTGGTCGTGCCTGGGCAACTCAGGACCCTATATCCAAGGAGAGTGGTGGGGGACCATTTTCAAAACCAAGCGGAGGAAACGGCGGCCAATTAAAATGACATATTTTTATTTGCCTCGCACGTTGTCAGTGATTTGCCCCCGGGGATCCACAATTTTCCCAAGCCTGTTAACGGGTGACGATGAATGAGTGCCTCGTGTAATTTAATTTTCCTGTCACACTAAATAGAGCTACATTGTAAACCTTAGATCTACTCTTACTGATAGGATCGCCTTGTTTTGCCATTTGCACCATAAAGACCCCCAAAAGGGACACTGTATTGTGACCTCTACTCTTGAATTATTCAAGAACTTAATGACATTTTCCATTTTAAAAAGGGGAACTAATTGCCATTGATGTAAAGCATGTGACCTTCTCTGGGTGCCCAGTATGAGAATGTAGCCATCTGTATTCGGACCCCAGAGCTGGGAAACTGCAGGATGCTGGCAAAATAGGAGAAAGATGTGAACAGAAATGAGCTTCAGATGGACACTGGATTCAAACATATTGTTCAGTTTCACCCCAAACCATGACTTAGACTTCTGCAAAATCCTCTAATCCAACCTAAAATTTGTATCAAAAAAACCTATCAACTCAGGCCTGTTTTTTGGGCATGACATGACTTTTTAGCTATGACAGGAACAGTAAAAATTGTAAAATCCACTAGTCCTTCATTAATGTTAAATACTTTGTGTAATATCAAGCAAAATATATAATCATCTACTCCCCTCCTCCCGTTCTTTCTTTTGGCAATGAAACAACTGTAAAGAAATTGAACCCTGATATTTGCTATTTGAAAATCAGTCTTGAGTTTCTAGGAAAGCCAGTGCTGAAATTCTTCAGTATCAGAATTCTCACTTTTCAAATTACTTGAAAATGGAGGCTTATCTTTCCTCAAAGTAAAAAGAGTTCTGGTGTATTCTCTACTTGTCTTTCACTCTTTCCCCAGCCCCCAGAGGAAAGAAAAGTAAGAGAAAATGAGAGAAAACTTCTACCAATGTTGTCTGGCTTCAAAAATTCACAGATGAGTGGATGAAGATGATCTGATGGTTTCCCTGATTCATCTAAGTCCACTGCCAGGATTAACTGTGATAAAGTCTGAGTGGGTTGGGAGGTAAAATACTTTCCCGTGTTGGGCTGCAGATATTTCTTTTGAACTTTTTAAAGTGATGCCTGAGACAAGGAACTGTCATTTCTGCATCGAGTGGGCAGTTCTTTTTAAAACGACACCGAATGGACAGAATTCTGGCTTCACAGAGATGAAATAGCCTCTGCATGAGGCTGCAAATCCACATCTTTCTCTTGTAGCATCATTGGAAAAGAATATGAGGTGCGTTTGAACATTTAACTTGGTTCTAATGAAGCCCACATTACGTCAACAAGCTGGACGGGATCACTGCTGGGGCCAGCCAGAAGTCAGGATAGAATGCCCAGCCCTTCATCTGTACAGGGGTGTGTGTGCTTAATCTCTCAGTAGTGTCCGCCTCTTTGAGACTCCGTGACTGTAGCTTGACAGGCCTGTCCGTGAGATTCTCCAGACAAGAACACTGGAGTGTGTCGCTGTGCCCTCCTCTGTACAGGAGTAGTGTTGTTTTAAAGGAGTTTGTTATAAGGCTGTTGTTGCCCAAATCATATAACAGAGCAACTGTTTTCGTATTTCTTTAAAAGAAACCCGTTTCCCTCCTTTCCTTCGGATCATGCTTTCTTTGTGTACAACATGGCAGAAAAAAATTGTATAAGGACACATAGTTCTTATTGTCAGATAATAAGGACATACTTAAGAAATATGTTTGAAACCGTCACAATATTATCGAGTAATTATCTCCCAGTTACAAATAAAATTAAATTTAAGAAAAGAAAACATTTCAAGTCAAGAAAACATATGGAGTGTCAATCCATCTTCTTGAATATTTCCTGTGATAAAGACAACACTTTCTGGGTCAGATGTTAATTTAATTATAGAGATTTTTCATTTGGTTCTCAACATTTAAAAATGTTTCCAACAACCTGCTGTAGACTATGTGACACACAAGAAATTATACATGTCTCTCTAGCACTGTGTAGTGTCATAATCCAGTAATTTTTTCATGGTGACAGTAGGCACTAGAAATGAAAATTTCATTCACTTTTCAAACTGTCACCATGGATAAGTTATAGTTATTTTTCTTCTCATTTCAAAAAGCAACCCTCTTGCTCTGGGATCACTTGAAGTACATTTTAAGTGCTGTGGAAAAGTTTGTGGCATCTTTAGGGCATGGCAAATCCCTCTCCTGGCCTCATTTTTGGGTCTCACCGCCTTCTGAATGGATTTCTGTGTTGATAACTCATAGAGCCTGGAGGGAGGGATTCTATCTTGACTGCACTCAAATGGAAGGTGCTACAGGGATATGCAAGAGATTCTGATTTAGGGCCATGTTTCATCCAGTTCCCATCATCAGTTTTCCCCTGCCCTCCAAAACAGAAGGCAGGAAGAAAGAGAAAAGAAAACAAAAAACAACGTTGAAACATATTCCCTTTTGGCCATTCTTGAAAAGGTAAGTACCTCATCCACAGGGCAGGAAGCCATTGTAGTGTTTCATTTGGAAATGGGCTCTTTATTTCTCCATCAAGCCTGGTGGGAAGGGCTGCACTGGGCCTTTGCGTTTGTATCTGTTGGTTTGGGTGGAGTTCAAGAGATAACCAAGAGATCACTTTGGTTCTTTGTCAAGATGCTGTATGCTCACTGAAAGGGAAGAATGAGACAATTATTGAGGGGCAAAGTGAGTTAACTTGGGATACCTAGGCAGATAAATATAATCAGGCCAGCTTGTGCTTTTTCACATAAAATGTCTTCAGTTTCCTAGGTTCCAGAGGGGTTGAGCAGCAGCTGGGGGCTGGGGGCTCATCCTCCTCTGTTAACTGACCCCCAAGAAGACCAAGAGGGGCGTGTGTTCACCCTCTGCCTGAATTTGGTTACATCCTTCATCTCCTTTACATATTTTAACTGCTTGATATATGTGTGTTTTTTTTTTTTTTTTTTCAGTGTCAGCATTAGAGACATTTGATGCTAACTTTCTATCTGGTTCCATTTATCTGAATGTGTCCACCCAAATACATTTACTGGACTTCTGACTGTCCATTTTTCTTTCCTGGGGAATGACAATAAACCAGGATACCACTGACACGATGGCTAAAAATACCTTTGGAAAAACTCAGTTTCTTCTGCTTAGCCAATACTTGTTTCGTAAACAGGGATTGCAGCTTGCATCTGGGTCAGGACCCTGCTTATGCCAGGAGACAGCTATGCAGGATCCGTAAATGTGCCTTTTGGTGTAGAAACACCCTGCTCTATACGTCCACTTTCTTCTGGGAGGTTGTGGGGGGTGGGAGTTACAAAACTCCTACAGGATTTTTCACCTGGTGGGTGAAGCTCACATGTTACCAGTATAGCTTCTCCAGGATGCAGATTAAATGTGTGGCTCATGGAGTAATTAAACTGTGGACAAAACATGCCTTGAGTTCATGGAGGCTGAATACTCTGGACATAAAAGCCACCAACTTTGTAATGAAAATATAGGAACTTTTCAAAATAGGCCATCAAGATGTGGTTTACTTTTCAAACAAGATTCTAACGACGGCCTAACCCTCTTTGACTGTATTCTTCTGTTTTCTGTAGATTTGCTTATTCACAGATACTGGGACAAAAAGATGGGATGGAGGGAGGATGCTTGTGCTCCTAAGAAGCACACAGGCTTCTCCCAGTGCTGAACTCTGACCTTCACAGGAGAATCCCTAAAAGTCCATAACCCTGCAGTCAGCCTCCTCCTGGGGACCTTACCCCATAGTTCCCCATGAAGGTCTGGGGAGTGAGGTGGGTTCTGGACATGAATATGAGCTCTCAGCACCAGGGAAGCAATGCATGAAAATCATGATTTACAGACTTGGGCCAAACTACCAGACCAACAACTGCCAGAACTAGTCAGCACCAAGATACAAAAACATAAAACATTAAAGTTGCCCAAGTAGAAACTTAACCTCCCCAAAGTTACTGAAGCTTCTGATGAATGAAGAACGATGAGCAGCAAGTTGTCTAAGTCCTTGGCCGAAGGCATCATTACTTCTCAATGACCAGATAAAGTCCATGAGCTCAGAGTGATTGTTTGGGGGCAAAAATGGTCCAGGACCCATCCCTTGAGGATTTCTTTGCTGGCCAATAAAGCATGGGCAATTGGCCACTGCCTCACGGAAGGGGCAAGAGTGGCCAGCCTGGAAACAAGCCCCATGAGCTCCCCCCAGGCGGGTGCCTGTGCCCCAAGGAGCCCAGAACCTGATTGGCACACGCCTCGATGCCTCTGCCATCTGCCCAGCACCACACACACTTGCAGTGCTGACGAGGACACATCCCCAGAGGGAGGCTGGCCAGGACCCAGGCAAGACCAGTGTGGACAGGGCTGTACCGCCCTTAACTCCATTTCTAGGTATTAGGGTAAAGAAAGCCCCCCCCAACCCCCGCAAAAAGGATGGAACTCAACTTCTTTTTTGAAGACTGAGGGTCCCTCACAAGCTTCAGGGGGGTTTTCTAACATAGTGTTATTTTTTCAGCGTGCTTTGTCTCTGTGGAGAGGCTTCAGAAGGCCCTTGAAGTCCTCAGCCTTAAATCCGTGTTAATAGGGGAAGTCTCTTCTCTCTCTCTCTTTTTTTTTTGGTGGTGGGGAGGTTTGACTGGGAGCAGCGCTGACCCAGCCGGCACTCGGGCAGACCCACTATCATCGGCAGGGCACTTATTAACCAGCGCTCATTTGCAGGATCAATATTTCCAGAAAAAGAGTTCACACTGCAGATACACCACTATGTCTCATTTTTTTTTCCCTTGACAGACGATTTATTTTATAAATAAATCTGCTGGAGAAGAAAAGGCTGTCCGAAGGACTGTGTCTTTTATCTCTGGGATATGCAAAGCACATTTATTTTCAGCTTTTATCTCCGGAATTGTATGCTGATCCCATACATATAGATTGATTTTGTTCAGGTAGATAATGAAAAGTCAAGTGGAAAATTACACAATGGCACTCGCGATCCTGGTCTTATATTGGTATATAAATTGGTTTATTATTTCATTCTATTAAAGAGGCTTTTTTTTTTTTTTTTGGTACCAGGAAAACTTCAAAATACATCAAGTTGTCAGCCTCACTGAATTTTCTTTTGGGGGAGGAAGAGAGGAGGGGGTAGGGGGAGGTAATTTCTCTGGCTGCTTCTGTTAATTGTATGAGCTAAATGAGCTTGTACTGGGCCACTTCGAAGTCACTCATGCAGTTTCTGTAACTCTGGGACATTCCTGGGGCCAGGACAAAGATAACCATCACACATGTCCTGATACACAGGTGGATATTTTTTCACTCCAGGCATTTCTAAATTTTGTCACGATGACGGGAAAAGAGGCAAGCCACTCTCCCATTGACTGCACCACCACCCCCAGCACCAAGAGGCCAGGGGGTTGAAGGTGGCAGCCAGATAAAGGCCACCACCAAGGGACAGCTTGGAGCCAGAATCCTGAAGGAAACGTTATTAATAAACATCTCCTGGACATTTGGTAGCCCGTGGAGTCTGCTCCAGCTTAAAGCAATTAATTCAGGACACTGACATAAACTCTCCAGGTCTTTGACAGCTTGGAGCCGAAATAAAAATGCTAGTTCTCCGGGGAAGAGAAGGGGATGGCTAGCTCTTTTCTGGACTGTTTGCTTATAGGCCCAGAGAGCAACCTTCCTTGCCGAATGAAATGCAAGGGCACAAACAATGTACCAGGGAGAGAATGGGAGATGGGAATGAACAGTTTGAACTATTTGCTCAGCAGAAGGGCACCACAATGCGGGGCTGGTGGCTTTCCCATGCAGCCACCATCCCTTCTTTGCGGTCTTTTGTTGTGGCCTGGCTCCTTTGGCCAGATAAGAGCACAGCTGCAGCCTTGCAGCTAAGTAAGGCTGCACTCATCCCCCTAAATCTCGGGGTGTCTTTACTGTAACGGGTGAGGCGTGGCTGTCTTTTCTTTCACAGGGGACAGTGAGGGAGGGAAGGGCAGAATGGAGCGGGGGACTGTGACTTGCCAGGCCGGCATCCGAATTCCTGAGTTTTTTCTTTCTTTCTGAAATCCAAGCTGTGATCAGGCAGGATCTTTGTGGAGTATTTCAATGGAAGGGTTCAGTGACTTGTATTGGTTACCAAGCCAAAATGTTGCCTTTGGGGGAACGGAAGGGGAGGAGGTGAGTGTGTAAAATTGGGAAGGGGAAGGGAGGCAAAATCTTTGGTTTAAACACTCACACTCCTACAGCTACTGAAAAGAAGGGGAAGTTTTGAATTAGCCATTTTGAAACTGTTCAATGATGATTTTGTCACTTCTGAAAATCATTTTGGACTCATCCTTTTCACAGTTAATCTGTTCAGAGTCCTAGTGAATAGAGGTTGCCGGAAGCAGAGTGAGAACAGAATGAGCTGTGATGGGACATAAAACATGTTTGTAATTTCTGTAAATTACTCCTTTAATCAAAGCAAATGTCTCCTAAGATATGATTGAAATGTTCTTTCCCATTTGCTCTTTTAAAGTCAGAGCCTATTTTAAATGCCATAAGAGAAAGTAGATGTGATAATAATATAAAAATAAGCATAAAGTATGGTTTACATTAGGTTGGTTTTAAAGTTAAGATCTGCCTCATCTGTGTGTTCAAACTCGGTGGGTTTTGCCATGGACGTTGGTTTGGGAGCTGGGCGACAAGGCTGCATTCTATTCTAATAAGGTTTTTTTAGCTTGAAAGGCTTTATAAGGTGAAAAGGCAAAAAGTTTAACTCCAAAGAAAATGAATAGTTTACTAAAATTGCACAAAATGTTCTCAGACCAGAAAGCCACCTGCAGGAAATACGAAGTTTCAATGCTGTTTGTGTGTGTGTGTTTTTTTTTTTCACACTGACAAAAACCCACAGGAAAAAACCCCGCTGTGGATTTTTCCTGCTGAATTGTCAGACGGGAAGGCCATGAAACCAAAGGCTGTCCATTGAGATGCAGCTCCCGAAGACCGACCTCACGGGCGGCCCCGCAGGAAACAAAGCTGTGTGTCTACGCCGGGACCCCTCGCGCCAGCCCCACGGCCATGGCCAGGGCCATGCAGGATAGGGTGACCCTGCCCACCCACGTGCTCAGCGACTGCCCACTTTGCTCAGGATATGCTGTGGGAGGCCTTTGTCCAGTAGAGCTGCGAAGTAGTTTTAACACCAAGGAGATCAAAGTTAGTGAAAAGGGTTTGTGTGTGTGTGTATGTGTATGTGTGTGTGTGTTCCAGCCTGTGTGCAATGCAGGGAAAGGGGATGGACAACAGGGATGTGTTCTTTTAGGTATTTGCACATTTGATGGCCCCAGCGAAAGACCAAAAAAAAAAAAAGAATCTTGTAACATATGTCGTTTTTGGCATGACTTTGTATAAACATGTACGTGTGAATGACAGTCTTTTTTCTTTAAGGACTATAATAAAAATATCAAATCTGAGTTGTTTTTTATTTCCTTTGCAAGTACAAATTTTAAAATTTTGTATTTAAGACAGAAATCATATCCCATGTTTAAAGGAACAAATATATTGTTCTCTCCTGGTTAGGTGCTTAGACTAAATGTATACCATCTTTTTGAAAACTGAGGCCAGGGTGGAAACTGCAGTCTCCTGGGAGAATATGTTTCATTTCTCTAACTCCTGCTATAAAGAAAAGCTAGTTCAGGGAATTTTTTTCCAGAATGGCATTTTAAGAGTGATCTGAAAGTTATGTTGAATCTTGGTGGATAACACAGGGAAATGACCTTACTCCTTTTGAGATCATGGGTTTCCATGAGAGGAGAAGTGGTTTTTTATTGCCAATTTCTGCAAAGAATACTCAGGAACTGGTCTGCCTTGCAAAGCTGCCCTCACTGGAGGACCTCTGAGGATGTGGAATGCCACAGGGAGGGCGGGCGGATGCACAAGTCATGAATCAGGTTTAAAAGACTGTGGTCAGGAGCAAGAAGCAAGTGATACCGATCTTCTATGAGATGGGCTTGGACATCACACCAGCTGCCACGGGGTTTGATTAATGAGGCATTAAGGAGATCGAGTGACACTTACAGCTAGTTACTTATGGTGCTAATTTCAAAACACTTTGCAATAGACAAAGACAGTCTGCTCATAATGCAAAGTAATTTGTGGTGTGTTCCTGGTGAATGCATTTAGCGAAGCAAATATAGTTATGCAGAATTTAAATTAAGGTTGACACTAATGTAAACAGAGCCCAAGAACCACTGTCCAATAATTTGATGAGGACACAGGTTTTAATCAAGCCTCTTCCACTAAAATAGCAATTTAAATCCCCATCGTTTAAACTGGATAAAAATGCTTAAGCTGTGAATATTGGGGAGAAAAATAAAAATTTACTAGAAAAGAAACAAGAAACAAAATATCTCTGGGGAAACTATGATTTAACACAACAGAGGGCTATCCATGCTGATTCAAACATCAGGTTGGTTTCAAGGCCAGATTCTGGGAATCTGGAGGTATTTGTCTTGCATTCTTGTTGGGAAATGATGGTTTACCGGTAGTGCTGACCTCAGAATAAAGGTGACCCTGGAATGAGAAAATAGAGACTCTAAGCTGATCCAGAGGAAAATTTTATTTTACTTATTAAAAGGAGAAATATTCCTCCCCCCACTCAATGGATTTCTATCTGAAGTGGAAACTTCAAAATTGACTGGAGGTGCTCGAAGGGGATAGGCCAGTTAGGGAGCTGGGGGCGCCATCCTGAGGGTTGGTGTTCCCTTTGTAAGAGGTAAGACAATCACCCCAGCCTTGTGGTGGGGGGAGGCAGTGTTGCTATTTTATTTCCCTACCTGAAATCACTGGGGAAGGGGTGGGGTTGGGGGGATCAGCCAGGGGGTCAGGTTAATTAACATGCCAGCAGCCCAAGGGCCAAGGCTTGGAAAGCCTGTATATGAGAAACAGAACAAAATAAAACAACTCATTCTGTAATTGCTTTGGGAAAGAAAAACAGGGGAAGATCTGGCTATGTCCTTTAGGGTCTCCTGACTCGACTCTCCACAAGGGAGCAGAGGTGGGGGAACCCTAAAATCTCTGAATTGTGATCTGACCATTCCAGATCACATCAATGACGTGTCTTCTGGGGAAAGAACTTCGTACAATGACGTGTTATCATACAGATCCTGAAGAAGGGGCCAACAATTATTTGAAAAAGAAATCTCCAAGGCAGTGAAGATGCGCCAGGCAGTGACGTTCTCACTCGCCCCACCTGGGGAGCTGAGCAGGAAATGGAGACTTCTGTACTTTTTGGGTCCTAGCCTCCACCTTCATGGTCACAGGCTCACAAAGAAAGAAACGGAAACTCGGCGGCCCCATCACATCCCCCAGGCACGGTGGGCAGCGAGGGCAGAACCCGAATCCCTCTCCTTCTGCCTAGATGAATGCCTTCTCCCTGCCCTACACCCTTCCTGTTTGGGGCTCAGGGGCCCTTACACTGATCTGGGTCGGGGCTGGGGGGACTCTCCTTTGGGAGTATTTCTGGAGGGAAACTGAAGGCTCAAACTCCCTTCCAAGGAACCTGTCTGGGAGGGGAAGGGAGAAGCAATGACCCTTACCCCTCAGAGTCAGAGAGAACAACTTGAAAATGCATGTGAGTGAATCAACTCTGAAAACCCTGGGCCCACACTGCGCTCTGTGTCTAGGAAGGGCAAACTCTTGGGGTCCTCACATTGGGGCGGGCAGGCAGGGAGGTGCCACAGGCTTCCTGGGCAGAGGCTCTGCCCTGGACATGGCTCCCAGGCTCTCCTTCCTGGTGGACAAGGTGTGGCACAAGGCCCAGTGGCCGGTGGGACGCAGAGGGCAGGGTGGCAGGAGACAGGGGCACAGGCCAACCTGGGCCATCAGTGGCTTCCATGTCTAGTGAGAAAGGGAAACTTGTCAGGTCTGGGAGGCATGGACCCCACTGTGACCGTGGAGGTCAGTCCCCAAGAGCCACTCTGCAGCTGCCATTGGCATACCATTTCTGCCCTTGGGAAGCCCACCTGACCCAGCCCGGCCAGCGGCAAGTCAGAGGGTGGCCCTATCCCTGTCTACGGCTGCTTCCTAGCCCCCGAGGGACAGGGACTCACGCTGCTACTCCCAGCACAAGCCTTCAGGGCCCCACTCTGCTCTGAGCAGGGTTCCAGTGGGCCGGAGCCCTGCTGCCTACAGCCATGACCAGCTCAGGGCCGTTCCTTCTCCCTGCCTCATCTTCCTGGTCCTCACTCTGCCTGCTTCCTGGGATCTACGCACACAGACACACACACACACATACACAGAGATACATACACACGTACACATGCCTCCTGCTTCCAGCAGAGAGCATGATCCTCACGCGCCACCCCAGGCTCACTCATGCCCTCCAGTTGGTCTGGGTTCAAGGGACAACACAGGAGACCATTCATCATTCCCTTCATTTCAGCCTTCCATCACAAGCCCAGGATCTTCCTGCCGTGGAGGTGGCCTGGCACGTGCTCTCCAAACAGCGATCTCTGCCCTGCTGCATGATGCAGGACTGACTCCAGCTGCTCCCAGATCCAGCCTTGCTGCCCTGAAAGGATTGGAAATGCCAACTCCTCTCTTTTGGCCTCAGCTTCTCTCTCTATCTCTCAGAGGATAAAACAAAAACGATTTTACAGTCAGATGTTTAAAAGACAAATTTCCTTGAAATGAGCAATGTTGATGTTTCAGGTCTGTTTCTTGCTCTGGAAACACAGGGCAGGAGGGGATGGAGCAGTTAGCTCTGGAGAGTCACCGGGCAGCCCTCCTGTCCTCTCGCCTGCTGTGGGAAAGGCGCTGAAGTTGTTTTTCCTGCCTTACCCTCGGTTCAGAACCTCAGTGCAAATCCCAACGTCAACAAGGTTGTTTTTTGTTGCTGTTCAGTCGCTTAGTCATGTCCCGCTCTCTGAGACCCCATGGACTACAACACACCAGGCTTCCCTGTCCTTCATTGTCTCCCAGAGCTAGCTCAAACTCATCGAGTCGGTGATGCCATCCAACCGTCTCATCCTCTATCTCCCCCTTCTCCTCTTGCCCTCAATCTTTCCCATCATCAGGTTGCTGTGGTCTTTATGATTATCTTAAGAATTTGTCTCAAGTGAAGTTCAAGGACCAGGAGAGGCAGGCGCTCAAGTCCCATCGGCCAACAAGTCTCCCAGGATCACCGTCCCCCTCCCCCTGCCCCACACCCTACATGGCTGCTTTTTCCACAGTGACCATAATCTTCAGCCACCAGCTCTGGGCCCAGAGGCCCCCACTGCTTCCTCCTAAATGGAGAAGAGGTATCTAGGCTTTCCTCATCACCTTTGCAGCATGTTCACAGGAACTACTGACTCCTTCTGGGCCAGAGCCCAGGAACCCTCTGGACTGAGCTTGGGCCTCTCAACAGCAGGTTGGCCCCTGAGAGGGCCGGGTCATCTGGGGCTGGCTCTTCCCAGGTGTCAGCCTCCTGCCTGCACTGCTATTGCGGTGGACACTTGCTTCCGTGTGCCCACAAGGGCTGTCCCTTGTCGATGCTAGCATCTGAGGTTAGGTCTCGTCTTAGGGAGGTGGCTGGGAAGGGTGAGACCCTTGCCCTGGATCAAGGGTCATTTTGCACCTTGATGGGCGAGAAATGGTTGGCTGATGGGTGTTTTGTGGTCTGAGAATGTCCACTGATAAATAGGTTTAGTGACAGGCTGGGGGAACTGTCACTAATCTGCTGACTTCTACATGCTTTGTTTTGACGTGTTGCTTCTGATAAGTCCTGGGACCAGATGCAGGGCTGAGTGGTTTCTCTCAGACATTTTATTTCATTTCATTTTTTTTTGGCTGCATTGTGAGGCATGTGGGATTGTGGGATCTTATTAATAGCTCCCCATCCAGGGATCGAACCCACCCCTGCAGTGGAAGCACGGGGCTGCCAGGGCAGTCCCTTACACCTTTATTTTCTACATTTCGACATCTCTCTGTTATTTCTTCCTCATTTTGGAGGCCCAAATGTAGGCTCCTGGGTGTGCCCTCCGCCCCATCAGTCCTCAAGCTTCAGCCCTGCAGGCTTTGCCATTGCTACACCACTGATAGCATTGATTACATAGAAGGACCTAAAATTTTTACTTATTCTACCAAACTCTTTATATGTGCAAGGGTGTCAGCAGCTCTTCCAACCCCCATGTATTTCCTTAACCATTCATTATTCAGGATCTGAAGCATTTGAGTACTTTTCAGATAACTAGGTAAATACTTAACTCCCCTAAAATGCTGTCTGGCACATGGCCCAGTGTTTAGAATATCCCCTAGCTGATGGAACTCCCTGTTATGTATTAGCAGTTTTCTAAGATGAATCCATGGATGAAAAGGTG